AAAAAAAAAAAAAAAAAAAGTTCTCCAATACCTTTATTTTGATACAACCTTTAGCTTACTCTATGCAACCAGACACTATAAAATATAAATCAACCTAAACCTTCTCCAAATTTTTACAAACTTGGAATGTGTGAAGTACAAATTAATCTCACTGCACATACATGTTAGCAATATAGGTGTCAAGGACTCCCTGTTGGTCCTTGACAAGATTCCTATCCTAAGTTTCAATGTCGGACCATGTATAGATCCCTGTGCTGAAATTCACGACCTGTTTGTCACATCAGTTCTGGGCAATCTTTTAACAAAGTTCTCTCCTTGTATGCTCTTGAAATATTATAACTTTTCAACTTTGTCAAGTTTCAGTTTAATAAAAAAAATAGACTAGGAAAAATTAGCCAATAACTTAGTCTTACCTAGTCCTAACTAACTTCCACTTCTGACCTATGTCCAATATTTGATTTCTGAATACTATCTCATGATTGCAACATGATCACTTCTGGGATTTCTTGGACTCATTTAGCCCTGATCTGAAATTGTAACAGAGTCTCACGTGACTCCTCAAACACAAAGGGACAACAGGTTCAAGAACAATGCAAAGTTCTCCCTAAATTCTTATTAGCATTTCACAAACACAATGTCCTGGAAATAGCTTAATAGTATAAAAGTACAAAAGAAGTAAAGACATAGAAAGAATATATCTTCTAAAATTTTAAGTGAATTTTGATGGCTGCTACATGGTCTGTTTTTATCAAAAGTTGCACAATTTCCTCTTTCAGAAATTTTAAACAGACCATTCAATTATTGGCTGTGTTTGAATATGACAAAAATCTATTTCTTTCATGTATGTATTGATAATTCTGAATAAACTGCTTTGTACATGTTTAGTAGACAGAATTTGCATCAAGCTCCTAAAATAATTTACCTGGCTACAATAGGAAAATAGTTTAGATAAAACATACTACACATGCTGCTACCCTCTGTCCCATAGCCCCCATCCCCAATCAGACTTCATTTTAACTATAAGGATGTGTTGATAAACATGTTTTTATGAGACATATTTGTTTTGGTAAAATCTAATTCAAGCTCTATATCTTAACTTATGCATCGTTGTAAGGAGGAATAGAGAATTCCTAAACTTCTTTAATTTGTTAAGGGCAAATACAAATTTATTTAAATACAATTTATTTACTTTCATTCTAGAAAATAAACTACATTATTAAAAATAACCAAAACAAGTCAGGTGTGTTCACACAGGTAATCTTAGTACTTTGGGAAGCCATAGTGGAAGAATCAGGAGTTGGAGACCAGCCTGAGCAAGAGCAAGACCCCACCTCTACAAAATATTGAAAAACTAGCAGGCATGGTAATGTGGACCTGTAGTCCTAGCTACTAGTGAGGCTTAGGCAGGAGGAGTGCTTGAGTCTAAGAGGTTGAGGTTGCAGTGAGCTATGATGATGCATTCTAGCCTGGGTAACAAAGCAAGACCCTGTCTCGAAATAAATAAGTAAATAAATAACCAAAACATTGACCACCTTACCCAGGAACCACTAACTTCTGCCCATTGTGGATACGGTATGAACATCGATAATCATCAGGAAGCTTACAACCGATCTGAGCTTCTACGGCATCTAGGTCTTCTTCTCGGGCACCCTCTGCAAATGTACAGAAAAAAGCAAAATTTGAAGAAAGCAAGGCTTAAATCCAAAAAGAAATACAATTTATCTGCTAACCAATGAAACAAACTTGGAGCAGGTAAATTCATTTGATGCACTAAATAAGCAAATTCCTTAGTTTCATTCATCTCAATAGGGAAAACATGGGCACTTAGTAAAATAAGGAAAGATAGGCACCACTGAGATCCACAATAATTTTTCACATTACAACACAAACCCTAAGATAGACCTCATTTTTCTACATCTAATATATTCATATTGCTCTGCTTATTTATTTATTGAGACAGAGTCTTACTTTGTCGCACTGGCCACAACACTAGGCTGTTTTTACAGCTGGGGTCTCACTCTTGCTCAGGCTGGTCTCAAACTCCTGAACTCAGGCAATCCACCCACATCAGCCTCCCAGAGTGCTAGGATTACAGGCATGAGCTACTGCACCTGACCAGCTCTGCTTATTTATTAATTAAAAAAAAACTTTCAGCAGTTCTCTAAACCAATATTGCTCAGGAGTTTTATCTTAATGGACAATATTAGGAGATAAGGTACAGGAGGTCATTAACGTGAATTCTACTTTGCATGTTTGCAAATGAGCCATATAGTCTAGCTCTAAAAAGCAAGAATTACAAACACCATGAAAAGAAATCTATTCCCAGCAATGGTCCACCAGATTATTGGACCAAACCTCTCAATGAACAACAAAAAACTGTTTTGAAGACTTCTGGGGAACTACAAAAGCTGGAGTGGGGTGGGGTATAGAGTCCAGAAGGAAAAAAAACCTAAGAGATTGGCAAAAAATCAAGAACCATTGTTTTTAAGGCAACTGCCAATTCTGAAAGCAAACATGAGGCTGAAAGGCCTAGAAGCTGAGCAATTAGGCAGTACCACAAGGCTGGAGGGTAAAACTTGAAGTTTAGGGTCCACGAGAGAGAAAAAAACCTGGGAAAACCCAGGGTTTTATGACTGGGATCTTTAAGGACCATATCCTAGGAATAGGATGAACTGAAAATAGCTACTCCTTACGAAGATTAAATCCCAGCTTCCAATCAAATCAATCCCTGATTGGATTAAGGTGATCTGCCCATTGACTAGCTACCAGCCAAAAGCAAAAAAATCTCTAGAAGAGATTAACATTATCCCCAAACTCAGCTGTGTCTAGCAATCAATGAAAAAAATTAGCCTATAGGACAGTGGTTCTCAACCTCTGGGTTGCAACCCCTTTGGGGGTCGAACAACCCTTTCATAGCGGTCACCTAAATACATCCTGCATATCAGATATTTACATTATAATTCATAACAGTAGCAAGATTACAGTTATGAAGTAGCAACGAAAATAATTTTATGGTTGGGGGTCAACATGAGGAACTGTATTAAAAGGTTGCTGCATTAAGAAAGTTGAGAACCACTGCTATAGGAAGACAACAGCTGACTAAAGAGCAAGAGAAAAAACAGAAAATAGAACCAAATACACAACATACCCAGTTATTGGAGTTAGTAAACATGGACTTAAAAATAATCATAATTAGGCTGGGTGTGGTGGCTCATGCCTATAATGCTAGCACTCTGGGAGGCCGAAGTAGGTGGACTGCTTGAGCTCAGGAGTTTAAGACCAGCCTGAGCAAGAGCAAGATCCCATGTCTACTAAAAATAGGAAAAAAAAAAAAAAAAAAGAACTAGCCAGGCATAGTGGCTTAAGCCTATAGTTCCAGCTACTCAGAAGACTGAGGCAAGAAGATCACTTAAACCCAAGAGCTTGAGGTTGCTGGGAGCTGTGATGCCACGGCACTCTCTTCAGGGTGACAGAGTATGACTCTGTCTCAAAAAACGAAAGAAAACCATAATTAATATATTCCATGAGTTAAATGACAAGGTGGAGACTTTCAGCAAAGGAGGAAAAACTATAAATGGAAACCTTAGAGCTGAAGAACACAATAATTAAAATTAAGAATACACTGAAAGGTGTATTAGCAAGAGGTTTAAAGTGAAGAAGGAATTATAAACAGGAAGCTGGACCAAAAGACAAAAATGGGTAAAAACTACAAAAAGAACCTAAGACACATGATGGGAGGACATGGTGGAAAGGTCTGTGACACATGCACTGGAATTCTGAAAGGCGATGGAAGCGTATTTGAAGCAGAAGCAGTATATGAAGAGATAGTAGCAGAGAAGTTTCTGAAATTGATGAAAATATCCAACCATGATTTAAAATCACTATAAACCCCAGGGACAATAATTACAAACAAAATCACGTCACAACACATCATTACAAAATTACTGAAAATCAAAGACAAATAGAAATTGTAAAAGCAGCCAGAGGAGAAAAAAAGGCACATAATTAACTTCAAAGGACCAACAATAAGCCCATAGTTCGATTCTCAACAGAAATAACAGAAGTCAGAAGAACTGATATCTTCAAAGTGGTAGGGGGAAAAAAAAATCACCCTGACTAGAATTCTATATCCAGTGAATATATCCTTCAATAATGGAAGATAAATACATTTTTTAGATAAAATTTTTAAAAATTCAGCAGCAGCAGTCCTCATTTAAATAAATCTTATACCAAAAGGTACATCTTATGGCATAATGTATAGGAAGAAAAAGGATACATTAAATTACTAAAGGAAATTATTATTTCTTGTTTGTTTGTTTTAAGCCTACAGCACCCAATATTCCCAGGCAGTCTCCCATCCAAGTTCTAACCAGGCCCAACCCTGCTAAGCTTCTGAGATCAGAGGAGCTCGGGCACGTTCAGGGTGGTATGGCCATAGACCTAAAGGAAATTCTTTACATGGAAGAAAAATGATCTTAAATGAAAGTATGAAGATACAGGACAGAATGAAGTGCAACAAGAACAGGTAAATATGAAGGCAAACCTACAATAATGTTAAATATAGAAAATAATAATGTTTTCAAGGATATTAAATATGTAAAAAATTAAGATGACACAAACTGTAATACAAAAGGAAGGAGGGAGGTATTTGGAATTAAAGCATTCTAAAGGTCTTTCATTGTCTAGGAAGGGGTAAAAATACTACTTTACATTAGACTTTAATAAGTCAAGGAATTCATGTTTTAATCTCTAGCATAATCATTTAAAAGAGAAAGGAGGGAACCAAATAAAACATAATTAAGAAGATTGCAAAAAGGGAACAGTGAACAGATGGGACAAATAAAAAAACAAAAAGAAACATGGCATATTTGAACTCCAATACACTGGCAAGTACATAAAATATGAATAGACTAAATAATCTAACGAAAAGACAAACTGACAGACCAGATTTTAAAATATATATATATGTATACATACACAAAAGACACATTTAATGTAAATACAGAAAACAGTAAAATCACATGAAATAGACTTTAAGGCAAATAGCTTGATTAGAGCTAACAGAGGACTTTTCCAAATGACAAAAAGGTTAAATTCACTGTACAGACACTATAATTCTAAATTTTCTAGTATCACAGCTAGAAATATACACAGCTGTGTATGTATGTATATATACATATGTGTATGTATACTTTTTCAGCATTAAATGATTGTTTATTTTTCAGGTTTAAAATGTTTCAAAATGTGTATGTACATGATAAATAAAACAAACTGCACTCAGAATCACTGTAGAGCAGAATACATAAATGTACAGAGTTTTTTAGAGGACAAAAAATTATAATGTAATTAAATACAAAGAAAGACATTCAAGAAAGGTAGGAAAATTAGACCATCTTGGCAAAGGATATATTAACTAAGACAGACCAGGACAAACCCCTCCTAAACATCAGGATGAAATTTCTATGCTTCCTAGCTGCCTAGCTTCCCTTTTCTGCATTGAGTTGTCTACTTCAGACTCATCAGCCCCTGGGAGATTATCAAGCATTTCTTCCTCATCAGCCCTCTGTTTCTGTCTTGCATGTTTCTCTGTTCACTGTCTGGCATTCCTTTTTTTTTTTCTTTTTCAGAGACAGAGTTTCACTTTGTTGCCCTCAGTAGAGTGCTGTGGCGTCACAGCTCAAAGCAACCTCCAGCTCTTGGGCTTAAGCGATTATCTTACCTCAGCCTCCCAAGTAGCTAGGACTACAGGCACCTGCCACAATACCCGGCTATTTTTTGTTGCAGTTTGGCCAGGGCCAGGTTTGAACCCACCACCCTCGGTATATGGGGCCATGTCCTACTTACTGAGCCACAGCACTGCCCCACTGTCTGGCATTCTTGAGGAAGACTGGTTTATTAGATTAAATTCCGAGGCTATGTCAACCATGAGTAGCGTTCTAACATAAGCAGCTCAATAAAGGTCAGCACATTTACAATATTAAGGGATGGTCTCCAGGCACACTTAAGGTGGCAATTTGAGAACATTCTAGACAAATCCTTGCAGCAGAATCAGTGGTTGGATAATAAACTGGAGAAATCAGATCTGAGAAAGCTCAAATGGGTATCTCTCAGGAATTATAACTTCCAGCTTGAAAACACCTTTTTTATAAGGTGTGTTGGCCCCATCTAATATCTCTCTTTTTTTTTTTTTGGAGATGGAGTCTTATTCTATTGCCTTGGGTAGAGTTAGCATCATAGATCACAGCAACCTCAAACTCTTGGGCTTAAGTGATCCTCTTGCCTCAGCCTTCCAAGTAGCTGGGACTACAGTTGTGCATCACTATGTCTGGCTCCTATCTTCTACAAGCTCATAGATCATCCATCTCATCTTTATCTTGCCAGTATGTGATGCCTGGGAGTGGCTCTGTGGCTAACATGTGCAGTTCCCTTCAGACGTGAAGATGATCTCTGCATGATCCCCAAGTAAAAGGAACCACACTAAGATGGTGGTTCACTGCTCCACACTAAGATGTACTGCATGGACTCAGCTCACAATGCAGCAGAAAACCTAAAATACATATTTTTAAATGACAGAACTAAAATGGGAAAAAGATATAACTACAGTCAAAGTGGCTGTATTAGTTTCTACGGCTGTAATATTAGCAGCTTAAAACAACACGTATTATTTTACAGTTTCTGTAGGTCAGAAGTCCAGGTGTGACTCAACTAGATCCTCTGCTCAGGTCCCATAAGGCTGTAACCATGGCATCAGCTGGGGCTGCTATTTCTCTTATGCTTGAGATCCTCCTCTGGCTGTTGGTAGAACTCAATTCCTTGCAGTTGTAGAACTGATGGCCTCAGCTCCTAGAGGCCACCCTGCCATTCTCTACCACAGGCCCTCACCATAACATGCCAGGTTGCTCATTCAAAGTCGATAAGAGATATACACTCTCTGACTTTTAGAAGAGCCCATTCCTTTTTAAGGGTTCATCTGATTAAATGAGGCCCACTCAGGATAATTTTCCTTTTCATTAACAGTTATTTCAAATTTAACTAATTTAGAATCTTAATTACATCTGCAAAATCCTGTCCCCTTTTTATAACATGACCTAATCATGGGAGTAAAATTAATTATATCACAGTATCACTGACATTTAAGGACAGACATGGACATATAGACCAGTGATTGGGAATTTGAGGGCTATCTCAGAATTCTGCCTACCACAGTGAGAGAGTTTAACATGCCTCTCTCCATAACTAATAGAATAGCAAACAAAAACATAATACAGTAAGAGTAAGGAAGATCAGAAGAAAATTAACAAGTTTTACCTAATTATGTATATCATACTAAACTCCACAACTGTAGCTTATACATTCTTTTTAAGTGTACACCAAAACTGATCATGTACTGGATGGACCACAGAACAACTCCCAAGAAATTTAAATGACTGACCTTATATAAGGTATATTCTCCGATCATAGGGGAAAATGTAAATTATATTAAAAAGATGACTAAAACATCCCCACATGTTTAGAAATTAAGCACTATACTTCTATATACTCCATGGACTAAAGAAGAAATCAGAAAATACTTTGAACTGCATGCTAATGAAAATAGAACATATAAAACTTGTGGGACAAGCTAATATGCTTACAAAGAAATTTATGGCCCTAAATTCATTTGGGAAAAGAAGAAAGCCTGAAACTCTATGACCTAACCAATCAACTCAAGTCAGGACAAAAAAATCAAAGAGAAAGAATCAAATTAATGAAATAAAAATGAACACCCAATAGAGAACTGACAAAGGCAAAGCCAGTTCTTTGGAGAAAGATAAATAAAATTAATTAGCCCCTAACTAGCAAGGTCAAGAAAAACAGAGAGAAAGTATAGACAATATCAGAAATGAAAAAGGTGGTATCAGTACAGATCCGACAGGCAAGAAGGGATATTATAAAAACTTTATGTCAATAAATTCGATAATATAAATGAAGAGGAAAATTTCCTAAAAAAATAACTTACTGAAATTGACATTAAGAATAAATAAAAAATCTAATAGTCCTATACGTAATAAAAATATTGAATCCTTAATTTAAAACCTGCTATCATGACAACTCCAGAACTGAACAGCTTTGCTGGTGCATTCTTCTAATCATTTAAGCAAAAAATAAGACCAAGCTTACTCTTCCAGGGAACAGAAAAAGAGACAACACTTCCCGACTCGTTTTACAAGGCCAGCATCATCTTGATACCAACACCTAGCAAGAACATTGCAAGAAAGGAAAATTATAGGCCAAACACTCTAATGAACATAGATGTAAAAATCCTAATAAAATACTAGCTTATCAAGTCCAATACATATAAAAAGGATAATACAACCAAACAAAAAGTAGTAAGCTGGACTGGATCCTGGAAAGGAAAATGGACATTAGTGGAAAATCTGGTGAAATCCAAATGAATTCTGGAGTGTAGTTAATAGCAATGCATCAATGAAGATTTTAGTTTTGATAAATGTTCTATAGCGGGATACATTATGGGCAACTGAAACTAGGTGAAAGGTATACAGAACTCTCTGAACATCTCTGCCACTTTCCAATAAATCTCAAATTACTCGAAGATAAAAAGTTTATTTTAAAAAAAGAGAAAATTTAGCATGTACAAAAGAAACCAAACTGAACAGCTACGTGAACTACTAGATAAGGAAAGAAGCTAATATTTGTTGGTATTTGCTACATATTAGACATTTAACATATAACCTTAAGAAACCAAGAATTTCTGGAAGAAAGAGAGCTAGACAAAAAAAGTAAAAAGAAAAGCCAAAACAACAAACAAACATGACAAAATATACATAAAAGAAAATATATGTTTATAATATAGTAAAATCAAGATTGAAGAGGATGTCTTAGAGGCTAATTAATTGTATCCTATGATAAAATTCAGGAGCCAGACAGATCAGGGTTTAAATAAGGCATCCTCAAACTATGGCCCACGGGCCATATGCAGCCTGTTTAGGACATTTATCCTGCCCGCTGGGTGTTTTTGCCGCCACTGCCTGTCCTGCTTAGCAGCCGACTTGTCCCGGAGCCTGCAGTCCAGCCCTCCAAAGGTCTGAGGGACAGTGAACTGGCCCTCTGTTTAAAAAGTTTGAGGACCCCTGCTTTAAATTTTAGTTCTACCGGTCGCTGACTGTGTGACCTGTGGCAAGTTAATTCACCTCTTTAATCCTGTTCCTTCATCTGCAAAAGGGGGATAATACAACCTACCTCAAAGAATTATAATGAGAATTCAGACTTCCTATGTTTTTTAAAGTGCTTTACTGATACTTAATAAATATTCATTTATTTTCCTTCTCCTCCTCACCTACTCATATAAGGAAGCAGCTAAAAGGCTACTAGAAGTTGAGAAACCTAGATTATAGAGTTTTATCTCTGATACCAGTGTTGAAACCTTACATAAGTCACCTAAACTCTGTGTGTATATTTATTCACCTGTAAAACAGGAGTACTAGCATAAATTAGGGATGGACAAATTAGAGTCCACAGCCCACAGCCTGGACTGCTGCCTATTTCTGTAAATCATGTTTTATTGGAATGCAGCCATATCTACGTGTGCAGGTACTGCCTGTGGCTGCTTTTAACAGTTGTGACAGAGACCATGTGTCCCACCAAGCCTGAAATATTTACTATCTGGTCCTTTAAAAAAAAAAAGTTTGCCAACCCCTAGTTTAAATGATCTCTAAAGTCCCTTCTAACTCGAAAATTATAAGCCAACATTTAAGGTAAATATAAAATTTTAAGATATGTGATAAGAACATTAATACATGTACACCATAATTTCAAGATACTCCATGAAAATTTTCCCAAGCCCAATGCCTATTTGCTTTCTGACTTTCCTTTTTATCTGCCACCTCTAAATTTTTGAATTTAAATCAGGGATTGTGGCACCCGAGGTGCACAGCTAGGATCCTGACTCAGTTCCAAAATTCAGAAACCTAGAGTTCTTAGAATCTCTAAGATTCTAAGTCCAAAGTCCTTTCTCTAGTCCAAAGCATAACAAAGTCCCAGAGAACAGCCACCTGGGAGCTAGGAAGGAAAACAGGAACTATCAAAGAATTCTCTAACAACCTTACCTCTCTAATCACTAGCAAAGAATAGTTAAGTAGTGAACCTGGAAATGCCAAATTAAATGCAAATGAAAAAGGACGGTTTATGGAGAGAACCTATTACCTACCCTTACTTTCTTCCCTTCTTGGTAGCTCTGTGCCTACGGGGAGAACCATGTTTACATTTTCATATTCCACATGCCCTAAGATTAGCTTTTAAAGAGTCCTAAGACATCCTAAACAAGATAGGTCCTTTCTCCCTTCAGTTGATGTTAAGTTTATAGATAGCTCTAGGGTCTGTCCTATATTCAAATCCTAGTTTTTTATTTTGTGATGGTAAACAACTTACCTAATGTTTTATACCTTAGGTAGCTCACCTATAAAATAAGAATAGTAATTACTTATCCCAATATATTTGCAGATTAAATGGAGTAATATACACAAAATACTTAGCGTAGAACCTAGTTTTGTTCAATAAATAACAGCTATTGTAAGCCCTTACCTATTTTACTTACCACCACTGAATACCTATTTTCAGAATAGTATTATTATTTTCCTCTAAAAAAAATAAACTATTAAAAATACTATTCAAAGGCACTTTCCTTCAAAGTTCTACCTTACTCTCTCTGCCAAATCATTCTTTCCTCTACCTTCTAGTAATTCAGTTTTAAGCACCTTGCCTTACAACCATGTTTATATGGAAGTAACACTTGCAAGGAAAATTACAGTGTAAATGTGAAATGCAAAAGAAATGCTGTTTCAAAAGAGTCTTTAGTTCTAAAGGAAGGAAAACATTTGAGAAGAACTAGTGCGAATTTTAGATTGGCAAAATCAAAACATGTATACAACACCTTTCAGTGGAGAAACGTAAAAAAATTTGGAGGGTAAAGCAGGTAAGTAGCAATATATCTGTAATCTATCTGTGCATTTTCATGAGCAATTAATTAACAAATCGAATTAATGAAAATCGCTTGTTAATATTTCTTGCCAAACCGGACGATAATAGTGTAGTAGAAGGACCACAGATCCTGGAGCCAAACAGTTCAAATCTTAGCTTCACTACTCTGTAAATGTCAAAATAAGGATAAAAGTTTTCTTTACCCTATTATGATGCTCTCATACACTTAAAGAGCCAGGTTCTTTCCAAATATTAAAGAATGCTTAATATTCTTTATATAGATATAGATCTAAAAATATAAGATTAATCTAAGTTACTTTACATAAAACAAATATAAGGATAAAAGTTCAGCTTTCTCTCCTTTCTCATATGGGTCCCAAGGTTGAACAAAAACAGGGGAAGCAAAGGGAAGGTCCTTTCAGCCATACTGGCATTCTATTTCCTTGGCCAAATGTGAACGGTGAGTTACAGACAGATTAGATTAACATAGTTGCACAGATGATAGAGACTCAAAGTTATTCTAAACTAACTTATTTATACCAATAGTAACAAAAATGAGGAAGAGGAATCCTACATTCCCAGTACCTTTCAGAGATAAAACCATCCGAGGACACCTGGGCTCCAAATATTTCTTGAGATTATCCCAAGCCTTTTTAATAGCAGCATAATGGTTAATGTATCTTCCTACATCAGAATAAGTATCTATGAAGAGAGATTTCCAACACTGATCTTGCTGTGTTTTCTCTTCCCTAAACAGATGAAAACAGAGATTAAAAATCTTTTGAAATGATATTGGCATTCATTTTAGACACTTACCAACATACTAGTGGCTATCTGTGGCTACTTTTGCCCTTCCTTTCATTTATTTTAGCCACAAATGAAGACTAGATACCACAAAGTGATACTCATTAAAAATTATAACAAAAGTTACTGCTGGCATGATGGGATTACGAGTCAATTACTTTCTCACTTCCTACTTATTTTTTTGTAAATTTTCTAATTCTTAATAAAATACAGTATGAATAGTGCATGGGGTTTAAATGTCAACTTACCCTTAAATATGTATCAATTATAAAACTTAAAATTTTATAACGTTCCATTTTAGAAAATACTTAGAATCTAATGATATAATAATATAGCATACCAACACTGAATTAGACAGAGAATCATAAAACATCCAAAGAATTAAATGATTCAATATTTCTATTTGGTGTAATTCCCCAAACAAATGTTAAGTGTTCACTTAGCCACTGAGGACATACAAAAAATATGGTACTTTATTTTTTTGAGATGCAGTCTCACTATGTTGCCCAAACTGGTCTTGAACTCCTGGGCTCAAGTGATTCTCCTGCCTCGGCCTCCTGAGAAGCTGGACCTACAGAAGCATGCCACTGTGCCTGGCTTAGGCACATGCTTTTGCCTTCAGAAAATGTATAGTCTTATTAAGAAAGAATGAAGTATAAATTTAAGGGTCAGAAGTGAGAAAGGATAAGGCAGCCACAGCAGCCTTAAGGTAAAGCTTAAGGTAACATACTAATGTGCCACTAAAGGGTTTTAACAGGGGCATTAAAGGAGCAGAGTTATGGCTATAGATTGTGAGAGGTAGATTTAAATTTAATGTAAATTATAGGCATAAAGATGAGTTAGAAGGGTTTTGCAGAAGTCCTGGTAAGAGATGATGAACTACTGTGGTAGTTAGAAGAAATGAATAGGAAGACTCTAGAAATACACAGAAGCTAAAATCAGAAAGGCTTGGTAATTAAATGAATGCCAAAGGAGGGCAGGAGGAAGTGGGTAGAAGAGAGAGACAGACCTAGGATAATTCCTAATTCTGGTTTGGCTGTCTAAGCAGATGGTACTGCCATGAAGACTAGCGATACAGATAGGTTTAGGGATAGGGAAAAAAACAATGGGGGGGTTAGCATTGTTTTACTAATCTAAATAATATATACAAACATTATCAAAATTAAAACTTATCAAAGAACTCAGGATGAAAAACTAGTCTTTTGTTATAAGCCCAACCCCTCAAAGGAAAGTTTAGTTATTTCTGGAAGTTATCTCTATAAATCCAAATGTTGATGCCTTTAGTTCTTGACTTATCAATTTTATATTATCTATTGATAGCCTAATGTGAAAGATGACGGGGGTGGCGCCTGTGGCTCAAGGAGTAAGGTACTGGTCCCATATGCCAGAGGTGGTGTGTTCAAACCCAGCCCTGGCCAAAAAATAAAAAAAAAAAAAAAAAAAAAAAAAAAAAAAAAAAAAGAAAGATGACGATATAGCAATAGAGGGGCAGTCTTGCTTTCTTTCTTTGGGATAGCATGCTGTCTCTGTCTCTTTTTCTCTCGCTCTCTCACTTTCTCTCCTGCTAAAATATAAAATAAACTTACAATTTTATATTTTAAAAAAAGAAGATATAGCAATACTTAAAATTCCCACTCCCCCGTTCTTCCTCCTCCCAGAGCTCTGTTATTTTTACTTTTACCTAAAGCTTGTAGCTTTAAATATATTAATACTTAAATCTTTACTTCTTGTTTCAACGTTAGTTGCTATCTGACTCTCCTCAATCTAAGAGAAAGATATTAGTATTCCTAACTTTTCTTTGACCTTTCCCAACTCCCACCTTCTGTCATCTATTCTTTGATTCTGTCAAATTTGTTAACATTTACTGAATAATTACTGAAGTTAGCAATTGTGGGACAGCCAATGGATAGGTCCAATAGACAACTATGCAAACAAATCCAGAGCTCAGTGGTGATGTCAGGGAGGGAGAGTGAAGTTTGGGAGTCAGAAGCACATAGGTAGTCACTATAAAGTGTAACAATGCACGCAGGAGAGATCAGAGAGGGAGAAGAACAGTGGGCCAAAGATAGAACCTTGGAGAACATCATCATTTATTGACAGGTATAAGAAAGACAAGGGTGGGAGAGTCAAATCAGGACAGAATGGTATAGTGGAAACCAAGGGCTAAGTGTTAAGAATACACATTTCCCACATACTCACTCAGATATTAGCCAGTATTTTTTGCAATGTCTTCTCCACAGCGGATCATGACTTGATAGCTGGCTAAGTCTTCGACTGACATAACAACAACTGGCAGTAACCAGATTCACAATTAGTATGAAAGAAAATAAGAAAATTCAAAATAAAAAGATAAAATGAATTATTCATCAAGTTTTGTTTTATGTCTTTTCTTTTCTTATTTTCCATTTATGACCTTTACAATTACAGCATTTTTTAAAAGCCTGTTTAACAAAGTAGTATAATTTACCTTGTGAGTAGTGAAACTGAGTTTACAAATAAATCCTCAAACCTCTAAACCACATATACCATTAGAATTAATCTCAAATCAAGGAGTTTTTCCACATTTATTATTAGGACAGTAGTCATTTCTACATATAGGAAGAAAGGTTATTAAGGTATAACCACAAGAGATATGGAGATTTTTTCCATAGATCTGTAAGATATATACTACTAAATGCACAGGACTTTTGCTTGTTTTTTTCTACCTTTTTCTTAAAAAAGTAAAAAAGTACTGCAACCAAAGACTCTTTGTCATTAAGCAACTACCATAGAGTCCACCTAAAAAGGAGCGTCTAAATCGTAATAGCTAATCAATGAATGGAATCTTAAATCATATGGGGTTTATCAAAGCCATGAGTAGGGCATGTTAAAAATCAATCTATAGTAAACAAAATTAGCAAATAGATTAATACTCATGGCTATACGTTTGCCCCAAACATGGAAGTTTAAAAGCAAATAATTGTCTTACTATACAGAAATCGCTAACATAATAGTGCTCCAATGCTGTAAATGCTACCCTAAATTTGTAAAAAGAATGAACCTAAGATTGGGAAAATGAATTTCTATTTATTTATTTTTAAATTTCTATCCTTTTAGAAGAGAAATCACAAGTTATAGAAAGTAGGTATTCAAAGATCTCATCTGGGCAATAGCTAATCAATGAATGGAATTTTACATCATATGGGGTTCATCAAGGCCTTAAATAGGGCATGTTAAAAATCAATCTATAGTAAACAAAATTAGCCATTATTTGATTTTCAGATTTTACAAAAACATCATCCTTATTATTTTCTTCCAAGCTCAGGAGATGGCCAAAATAACTTCTGTAAACCTAGGAACAAACCCTCCTATTTCTTCTATTCCCTCTTCTGAATTCCTCTCCCTCCACTGCCCTAGCAGTTCAACAACATAAAAAGAATCTGGGGGTGGCGCCTGTGGCTCAAAGAAGTAGGGCGCTAGCCCCATACTGGAGGTGGTGGGTTCAAACCCAGCCCTGGCCAAAAACTGCAAAAAAAAAAAAAGAATCTGAAATAGGTACCAAAGGTGATTCTAATGCACATCAAGGTTGAAAACTCATGTTCTAGAGGTTCTGATTAGTTGGAGTGCAATTAGCACCTCATGTATCTATTAATATATGTTTAAAAAGTGTCACCAGTAATTGTGATGCATAATAAAGGTTGAGAACTATATGTAATAAATCACCCTGAAAAGAAGAAGGCATCATACAATCTCAGATTCAAACTATGCAACTGATACTATACAATGATCACAATGGACTAATTCAACCCGATGCTATCCAGTTCAGCAAGTATATACCAAAGCTTGGCACTGGAATAGACACTTGGCAAAGTTGGGCTGCATGGTGCAGGCAATAGGCTGTGGGACCCTGAACACTTTTCCATGGATAAAATCTGATGGTATTCAACTTATTTCCACAGGCATTTATGGAAAGATCATGTCACTTCTGTTTAAAATTTTGATTGCTACTGAAAACATTTTAAATAAAATCTAATCTCCTTACCTTGGCTCACAAAGTCCTCCATGATCTTACCGGTATCATCTATCACTCTGCCTGTAAGTTACTTCCTACTTCCAAAAACAACAGTCTTCTACCTCCTCCAACATGCCTTCCTGTTAAACAGTCCTCAACAGTCCTGTTAACCAACCTCTGAACACACTCTTCCCTCTGCCAGGACTACAAATGCCACGCTTCATATATGGCAGCTTCTTCTAATTTTAGTTGATCATCTCTCTCCTCATTCTTTAACACAGCAATCTATTTCCTTCACAGCACTTTGAACCTCTCATAATTATACATTTACTTGTATTTCCACCTTGCCCACTAGACTGCAAGCTGCCTGAAAGGAACCTGATCTGCTTTGTTCACTTTTGTACCTCCAAGATGTAACAGGCTGGCACATAGCAGGCCCTCAAAAAATGTGTTGAATAAATGATGAATACCAAGATAAACAAGGCAGTCCTTACATTTGAGAAGTGTACTATCTGGCATGGAAATCAATTCTTCAAAGGAAGGAAGAGGTAGAAAGAGGGTCTTATACGAATTCCACCTTGCTAGGTTGAGAAAAGGTGGGCAAGGCTTTCCACACAGGGTGAAAAGCTTAAGCCACAGAACAAAAAAGTGCAAGTTCATGGTATGCTGACAGAGGTCTGATTTGGCTAGAGTGGATTTTGTAAATATGATAGTGGAGGAGAAATAAAGCCTGAAAGGCCTTAGATAAGAAACCAAATGAAAAGAGTCTTCAATGACCCAGAAGTTTAGGTTATAGTATCTAAACAACAGGGGTAGCAGAGGTTTTAAAAGAGAATTACAACCAGATGTGTCTTGGAAAGACCACTCTGGCCCCAGTCAAAAGTTGGGGGGGAGCTGGTTAGACTGTAAGAAGAGGTCATAGCAACAGAATATTTCAGATGAAAACAGCTGAGCTAGAACAGCCTGTCCCAAAGAAAAACTTCATTTCTCTGCTTTAGTACAAGCGTGACTGGAGGGAAAAAATGTATTTTCTAAATAAGTGTTAGCAAGTACTAATATAGGTAGCACCGAGAAACTCAAGGTATTTCTCCATCACCACTTAACAACAGCTATCTGCAACTCCAAGGAATCTGTATGTCTAAAAGGACCCCTAACAACACAGGACACAATCATCAAAAGACTAGAATCCAAACAAAACAAATCTCGCCTACCCATCCTAAGAGGGCGATTCTTCCTCCTCTGCAAATACACACGGCAGCACAGGAAACTCAGAACCATGCCACCAGCTGTCAAGGGTGTAAACAATTCTAACACCTCCTCGGGAGGCGGGCTGGCAGCGCCATTTCTTCCACCATCCCACAGTCCCAAGCTCAGAACCAATTGGCCGTTTAACCACCCTGATAAGCAACCGGTGTTTATTTTTGGAACAGACTCTTGCAACGTGGGAAACCCAAGGTGTACAGGGGGGAAGACAGTCCCTTGCATCGCATCACCGCGAGTCAATATCAAAACACAAAACGCAACACAAACCGTTAAGGAGGAAGGGCTGAGGGGAAAACAACTGTCAAGCATTTAAGTGTGAGAAAGTGAGCCCCGTCAGCGATCACGGTGCCAGAAAGGTCGCACCAAAGGGGGCCTGGGGACGTCTGCCTCTTTCTCTCTCACGTCCCACCTGCCCAGCCCGGGGACCAAAAAAGAAGATCGCGCGGCCGGGACGGGGGCTTTTTGCACAGTGGCTGGGGCTGGGCTGGGCCAGGCCAGGCGGAGACGCGCGGGGCCCGTGAGGGTCCGCGGGGCGCGGCGAGACAGCACCCGGATGGAGGCGCTACCTCAGTTCCCTGCGATTGGGCCTCGCTAAGGCCTGAGAGATAGGGCTCTCGTCGCTCCTCAGGCCTGGGCCCTAGACGTGAAGAAAACCTCAGGGTGGGGCCCTTTTTATCCCTGTCTCGCCCCGGGCCCCGGCTGGCTCTGCAGGATAAGGGCGGCCCAGGCGTCTACCTTCTGGCGCCGCGGGAACACGAGTCCTATTGGCGGTCCTAGCCTCCTTCCCTCCTGCCTCACCGCCTCTTTTCCCCGCGTCCCAATCCCCGCCGTACGCGTTGTCCCATTACTTGATGAGGTCCCGGTAGTCCAAGAAGGATAAAATGAGGAGCAGGGGATCCGTGGGCAGCGATCCTAGGGTCAGTGGTGTCGCCTCAGCCTCCATGGCCGCCATCTTGCCTGGCCGAGTGCAGGCCTGGCT